TTATTTTTTTATAAGAAAAATGGATCGTTTATATTGCAAAGATTGCAAAGTTATTTCAAATGAAAGTTTATGTACTCAATATCGCTTATTAGTTTTAAATTTTAAGATGAAGGGGCAGAAAATAAAAAATAAAATAAAATATTTTTCTAGGATTAGATTGGGGCATTTAAAAATATTAATTAAAATATTTTTTTAGAGTAAGATTCTTGATGTTAAGATTTGTTTGTGTAAGAGGAAGCTAATGCTATATAAGAAAAAGTAGCTAGCGATATTAAGAATATTGCAAAGAATGTACTTGGAGTATCAGAGGGAAAAGCTCTTAATAGTAAAAATAGTTTGTGATGGAATCAAAATGTGCAAGAAAAGATTAAAAATAAGAAGATTTGTTATAAAATTGATTTAGATCTAAAAATTCTAATAATAGGGAAAGATATAAAGAAACCCGTAAGGAGTCTACGAAAGCAATATGCATAGATTAGGTGCTAAGGTGGGTGAAAGAAATATGTATAAGTTAGCCAAATAAAGAGACAAGAGTAGTAAGGATTTAGTTCAAGTGAAGTGCATTAAGTATGAATATCAAAAAGTATTTTTATTAGAAGAAGATATTCAACAAAGGTGGATGAAATATTTTGTTAAACTTTTCAATAATGATTGTGAGAATACGGTTGACTTTAGTGATCTTAGTAACCTAAATGAAAATAATGATTTTTAATTTTTATTGCTGTATTAGTAAAGTGAAGTTAGAGGGGCTTTAAAAAAAATGAAGTGTGAAAAAGCTATTGGACCTGATGTTATTCCAATAGAGGTGTGGAAATGCTTAGGAGATGAAAGAATTTCTTGGCATACTAAACTTTTTAATACTACTTTAAAGATTAAAAAGATGCCAGTTGTGTGGAGAATGAGTGTGTTGATTCTTATTTTGAAGAAAAAATATGTTGCACAAGATTGTGCGAATCATAGAGGAATTAAGTTAATGTGTCATACTCTAAAATTATGGGAGAGAGTTATGGAACTTATGTTTTGACGTGATACTAATGTTTCTCAAAATCAATTTAAATTTATGCCAGGTAGGTCTACTATGGAAGCTATATATTTATTGAGAGGATTGATGGAGAAGTATAGAGAGAATAAGGAGGTTCTACATATGATATTTATTAATTTATAGAAAACATATAATAAAGTTCCAAGAGAAGTGTTATATAGAGTTCTAGAAAAGAAAGGGTTTCATAATGCTTATATTCAAGTCATTAAGAATATATATGCAGGAGCTATTACTTATGTTCAAAACACAAGGTGGTTTGACCAAATATTTTCCTATTTCAGGTTGATTACATGAAGGATCAGCCTTAAGCCCATTACCTTTTTCTTTAGTCATGGATGTTCTCACCAAACATTTGCAAGAGGTTTTACCATAGTGTATGCTTTTTGCTGATGATATTCTTCTTGTTGATAAGACTAAAGAGGGAGTTGAAAGTAAACTTGAATTATGGAGGTCAACCTTAGAGTCTAAAGGTTTTCGTCTGAGTAGATCTAAAATTGCATATATGGATTGTGACTTTGGGTAATCAAGTTATTAATAAGTGTACACATTTTATATATCTCGGGGCTATTGTTCATAGTGATGGTGAAATAGATGGGTTTTTTATTTTTGGAATTCAAGTTGGATGGTTAAAGTGGAGGAATGCAGTGTGTGATAGAAAAGTCCCCCTCAAACTTAAGGGAAAATTTTATAAGATGGTTAGACTTGCAATGCTTTATGATGTAGAATGTTGATCAATAAAAGAGAAGCGTAATATTAAGTTAAGTTTTGCAGAGATGAGGATGCTCAGGTGGACGAGTGGCTTTACTCTTAGAGGCAAGGTATGTAATGAGCATATATGTGAGAAGGTTGGAGCAGCTCTAGTGGAAGATAAGATTAGAGAGAGTTTCCTTAGATGGTTTGGTCACATAAAATGGTGCCTTCCGATGACCCGGTTAGGAAAGTAGATATATTAGATTTGATTTATGTTAGGTAGAGGTAGACCTAAACAGATTTAGTTAGAAAATATTAGAAATGACCTTTCTTTACTAGATTTAAATGAAAATTTAACTTTTAACAGGAGCACAATGGAGAAAAAGGATTCATGCAGCTGACCCCCTAGTGGGCTAAAGGCTTGATGTTGTTGTTGTTGTTGTTGTTGTTGTAACGCTAAATGCTGTTAGGAGGCATGTGATGTTGACTAGATGGGCTAGCATATTGGGCTAGTGTTTCTAAACAACGAAGATCAATATATGTTTGTGATTTTCTATTGGGAAATTGCGTGCTTTTGCTTTCACTAGCTTTCAACTTATTTTGTAGAGGAATTTGTCCTTCTCGTTCTCATTGTTTTGGGGCACTAACGACTTCTTCATGGTAGTTGTGTTAGAATTATTATTTTTCTTGAAATAGGTGCTACAAGAATTGGGGTATGCAATAGTTATTGTTTTATGTTATAGAAGACCTCATCCCAAATGAATAGAGCATCCTTCTTCATTATCTTTGAGAAGGGCTGCTGCCTATTAGATAGGTTTGGGATGAATCACCATGTGCATAAGAAGGATGCCAAAGAAATATGTGTGGAATCGTCTTCTTGATGGCTTGAATATTGGTGGGGTTGATTTCGATAATCCAAACCTGATGCCTTTATCATTTAAATACAATATCCAAATTATTTAATAGTATCATTCAAAATAGCTGCATGACTTCACAAACTTTGACAATAATTTGAATATCAATTAGATGTGTCATGATTATCTTAGTGGATAGTCTCAACTGCATGAGAAGATAGTTTTGATTTTAATGTTTCAAGTTCTTTAAATTGTAGGCATCAAATTCATGTTTTATTGATTACATACTGCAATTGTATGAATTTGATCATTTTGACTGCTGAAAGATATTAGTAAAATAGACTTTTAGCTTTCTATAAGTTGTCCATTCACCATTTGATGTGAAACGTACATGCGATGATGGAGTTACTTTAAGAAATTAACAAGAACAATTTAAACAAATAATCCCAAAGCAAAATTATCACTTATAGCAAAAGATTGATCCTTGGAATTCGTGTTCTTTAACTTGGTTAGGCAAGGTAGAGCAAGATCAATCAACCAAGCAATTCAAGAAACACAAAGAATAATTGTAAAGCTACGATGGTAACAAGAGTCCACAATTTAATAATGAAAACTTTCACCTTTGGAGCCCATACGCTCAACTAGTCTAGGCTTTAGCGGAAGAAGAGTCTCCACCTTAGAATCGAGGTCGCTCCGAGGAAGAAGGAACCTTGGATCGTCGTTCTTGGATAGGTGGCCGGAGTATGGAATTCTTGCCAGCAATTTCTTGAAGGTGTATTCGGCGGCCTGGAATGTCCGGACAGTGTTTGGAGACCTTCTAGCAGGCTGGACAGCAAGAAAACATGTTCCAAATCTCCTAAACAGCAGGTTTCAGATGCTTGAAATGCGAGGCAGCAGATAGGAGAAGTCTGGACAGCAGTTTGGCCTTTAAGGAGTTCTGGACAGCAACATATAATGCTTGTACAAGCCTTGGACAGTTGCTATAGGGTGCTGGAGGTGTTTGGACAGCAATTCTAGGTCTCCAATGGTGCAGGACAGCAGGCTGCCCTGGTTGGAATGCATGAGTATACAACAGATTTTAGGGGGGGGAGGGAGGAGAACCGTGAGGGGAGACTTGGGCGGGTGAGGCTATGGGGGGAAGAACACAAAATCTGAATTTTAATTCAGATTTCCTTAAGTGTAGAGAATTTATTTTCAATTTCAAAATTTTGAAATTGAAATTAAGCTAGGAGGGAAGGGATTAAAGGTGGATTAAAAGAGAATTAAATGGGGAGAGAGAGGAGGGAGGGCCGGCCATGTAGAGAGGGGAGATGTTTGAGACTTAAGTAGGTGGGGACCACTAGTAATTAATCAAAATCTGATTTTTAATTTCAGATTTTAATTGTCTCATGTAACTCCCTAATTTAAATAAAAATTAGGAGGGAATTTGAATTTCAAAAGAGTGTAACTCCCTTAATTAATTCCCCAAATTAATTGGCTCAATTAGTAAGGTAATTATGGAAAATTCAAATGTGCAAGGGGAAAACCAAAGGGGGCCGGTGGTATGGAAGGTGGCGGCTAGATTGGCCGGCGTGGATCTGGCCGGCGGGTGGCCGGCCGGTGGTGGCTGTTTTTCTGGCCGGCGAAATAGGAAGGGATGGGCAAGGTGGCCGGCGGTCTAGGGTTGCTTGGAGCAAGCGGCGACAAAGGGCAAGGAGGAAGAGATGGAATCTTCTGAAGATTTGACGACTACGAATTTACTAACCTCAAATGTCTTCTCGTTGAATTTCCACAAGATTAGTTAGCACGAACTAGAACTCACAAAGAGATCTAGTCTTCTCCGGCGAACTCACTAAGAGATCGAGGAGGGTGAAGAACTCACCAAGAGATCTTCTTGAACTCACAAAGAGAACACATAGTAGTAAATTTTTATTTCATCAAAACTGAAATTACAATGCATGAGGCCTCATATAAATAGGCCAAAATGAAAAAAAAGAAGAAATGACACAAATGCCCTTCCGGGCTACATAAGCGACTAAATGCCCATAAGGGCAAAAGCGAAAAAACATCAAAATAAAATACGCTACTACATAAAATGACAAAATACAAGTCATGCTCATGGCCGTCGATCTCCGGCGTCGAAAATGCTGACGATGTCCTCATCACCATTGTTTTTCCATTTTCTGGTAATTGTTAGAAGTATTATGAAAATTGAGGAAATTTGATCCAACAACTAACAATCTGTTGCGTTAGCAAAAGTTTTGCGCTTTTTTGTCTCATTCTTCGTGAGACGAGGCATGTAGAAATTAAAGGACAAGCAGGTTTGTTGACATTCTATTGTTTATTTCTTACGCCAGCTGAAATAATTTGTTTATTTGCTTTAATTAATATAGTTAACAAAAATTATGCTCATTTAATGTGTGTTTGCTTTGTAGATTTGGTGCCATTTACTCTAAGATGCCGATTTAAATGCAAATTAAAGTTCTGGAAGCTGCTTTCCATCTCTGAGCCAGAGATGGTCCGCATTGAGATTTATGGCTGAGTTATTGATCATTCAACAAGTCAGTTTGTGCTATCTAATAAAAACAGATTTCAACATAGTAGACCTGCAGCATCTTACTAAACCGCTGCCGTATTGCAATTCAACATACATAATGTAGTTGCAAACGTGCATAGAGAAATCTCATATTTTTTAGCTTCTTCCTGCCTTATATTACACATTATGAATTATTACACTCATGGAGTGTAGTTTTTCTTTCAACCTTTTATTGGAAATTGAAGTGCTTATGTGCAAACTAAATGTTTTTGCTCCCATATGTTGCTGAATTCTATGTGATCTGGTGTGACTCGATACTCAAAAAAATCTGTTCTAATGGCTAGTTTGTGGCACCTCAAATTTTATTAGGTAAATTACTGTTTTTCTGCTAAGCTTTTCCACCATCTGTGGAAGTGGCTTTATGCTTTTGGCCATGGGAGGATGCTTTCTTTAGAATGCTGAAGTCTTCACCTCAAAATTAAAAAACTTCTCGTTGCTTGACGTCCGGCTAGGATTTTTATTGCAGGTTAATACGCCATATGGAAATTAGAAAGATTTTAACTGTTTTTTTAATCTGAAAATAATATGTTAGAATTTGGGCTGAATGGGTTTTCAAACCTTTGGGGTTGTTTTAAGATGATTGTGATATTAAAAAAGATGTGTTATTGATAGATTGCATTTATTTTTAAGCTAATTTAAGATTTTTTAATTTTCTTTTTACACCAAGGATCAGCCTTAAGCCTATATCTTTTTGCTTTAGTTATGGATGTTCTCACTAGACATATGCAAGAGGTTGTAGCCTAGTGTATGCTTTTGGTTGATGATATTCTTCTTGTTGATAAGACTCGAGAGGGAGTTGAAGGTAGATTTGAATTATGGAGGTCAATTTTAGGAACTTTTATTACGTCCGGTGCAAGGACGTAGAGGAACGTCTGGTCGGAGGTAATTTTCCGTCAAAAAATTAGGTATTTGCTCGGTACAACTAGGTATTATTTGATAATAATGAGGAATACCATTTTCTGAAGACCAATATCGAGTTATACCGAGCTGTACCGAGAAATACCGAGTTGTACTGAGTTTTTTCTAGAAAAACTTGGTACAACTTTGGTATAACTCGGTATTTGCTCGGTAAAGCCCGGTATAACTCGCTATTGGGTCTTCAAATGATGGTATTCTTCGTTATTGTTTGGTATTGCTCGGTATTTGCTCGGTACAACTCATTTTTTGGCGGGAATTTGCCTCCGACCGGACGTTCCTCTACGTCCAGTCGGAGGACGTAATAATTGTTCTTGAGAGTCTAAAGGTTTTCGTTTGAGTAGATCTAAAATTGAATATATGGAGTGTAATTTTAGTAATAATTGTTCCTTTGGGGGGACTTTGACTTTTGTTGATCAAGTCATTAATAAGAATAAATGTTTTAGACATATTATGTCTATTGTGTAGAGTGATGGTGAAATAGATGGGAATATTATTAGTAAATTTCAAGTTGGATGGTTAAAGTGGAGGTATGCATCTGACATGTGTGATAGAAAGTTCTCCTCAAACATAAGGGAAAATTCTATAAGATGGTTTAACTTATAATACTTTATGGTGCAAAATGTTGGTCTTTAAAAGAGAAACTTAATATTAAGTTAAGTGTTGTAGAGATGAGGATGATCTGATGGATGAGTGGCTTTACTTTTAGAGGAAACATACAAAATGAGCATATACGTGAAAAGGTTGGAGTAGCTCCAATAAAAGGTAAGATTAGGGAGAGTCGCCTTAGATGGCTTGGTCACATAAAATGGCGGCCTTCGGATTTCCTAGTTAGGAAAGTAGATATTATTAGATTTGAGTTTTGTTAAGAAAGCGATAGACCTAAAAAAGATTTGGTTAGAAAATATTAGAAATAACATATTGTTATTAGATTTAAATGAGAATTTAACATTTAACAAGGCATAATAAATAAAAAAGGACTCATATAGCTGACTCCACATAGTGGGATAAAGGTTTGACGTTGTTATTGTTAAGAATTTTAAAATATATTTTAATCAAATTTAAGTCAGATATTATTATCTAATTTTTATTATTTTTTATCCGCAATACCAACGACTACAAAGATTTGACTTATTTATATCTCTGTGACATCTCGCACACGATTAATACTTGGACCTTAAAAAGCATCATTGATAAAGTGAGATATATTTAAATCATTTAAATCTAAGGCTTAGGATCCCTAGCTTGTAATTTTGATGATAACAAACATTAGTGTTTGAGTTCTTTTAATTTTTCAAGCATATATACTGGATATTATTTTTTTCTGTGCTCACTAACATTTTAGGAAGGACGCACACCACTCAAGACTACAAGACTCAAGCTTGGGTATAATAGGTTGTCAATCAAAAAGAGTCAGTAATTTTTAATTTTCTTATAATTTTATTTCATGAGACTGGCCATGTAAGGGTGTATGGTAAAGTTGTGAACATACACACACACTAGGAGAGTAAAAAATTTGAAATTAAAAATTTGAACAAATCTAATCATACGATTTTAATCATATTGCATAATATGTTATTTGGAAAATTATGTCTAACGACTAATTGAACCATTAATTTTAATGAATTGAGCGTATTGCACAATTCATATCGTACAATAAGATTTGATTTGATATGTAAACCATAACTGTCATATAAATTAAGGATTTTTAAAAATGAAAATTGAACTAATCGTACATTATGATTACAATCATACTTTATGATATTATTAAATCATACTTAAATTATCCCACGTGATTAGTCAATCATATCATGATATAATAAATATGATCGATCGAACTGTACGATCTTGCTATAAAATGATTAATATTGATTCCTTTTTTTGCTATAAAATTGTTTTAAAAACTAATCCAAGTAATTATATTAAAGCCCGTGGAAGCAACTGAGAATTTAAAATATTTTTCAATATATAATTTTTTTTTAAATCACAACCTATCATATATGTAGTTGATAGTAAATATTGAAATTTGTGCGGTAAATTCAACTTGTAGATAATTAAAAGAAAATAATAAAAAATAAAATGCAAAAAGGAAAAAGCACACCAAAGTTTTTTATAGTGGTTCGATAAATTTTGACCTACGTCCACTCCCTGTAGTCATCCACTCTGGGTATTGCACTAATACTAAGTGTCTTTCCTTTTGGCCACATATCAAGGTGGAAAAGCCCTTACAAAAGTCCCTTCCATCAACCCTGGTGCAGAAGAGTGACGGAAGTTGTCATGCTCTTGGTGCCGGTAGTGGACCTTCAATCCTTTTACTCCCTCCTACGAATGTAGAGAACTCGGAACCCTTATTTACCCTCCTAATAATGGCAGAGTACCACAATCATTTTTCTCCCTCCCGGAGAAGGCAGAGAATCCTAGACTCTTAACTTTGAAACTTCTCTTGTTGCAATCCAGGATCCATAGTATGTGATTTTAATGATGATAATCATTATTGATTGAATTGTTACTTTTCTTACCAAATATTTTAGATATTTCTTCTATTTGTGAGCAGTAACATTGCATGTAAGAATTACACCGCTCAAGGCTATCGAAAGTTCAAGAATGAGTAGAATAGGAATGTCAAGTAAACAAAGTCGATAATTTTACTTTTCTATATTTTCTATTTCTTGAGTTTGGCTACGTAAGAGTGTATGCAATTGAGTGACTATGCACACATATATTAGGTGAGTGAAATAAGTTTTAAAAGTTAAATTTTTTCTATTAATCATATTGTACGACTTATAATCTTACTACTAGTACATAAAGAATTGGGCTTAATAGCTAATTAAAAAATTAGTTTATGTGAACTAATTGTACTATATGATCTGGATCATACTATACAATTCGTTACGATTTGAAAACCCTATCTGTCAAATTAATATAAGATTTTGAAATTTGATTTTTGAACTAATCATACTGTACGATGCCAATCAAACTGTACGAATATTTAAAATCTAGCTTAAATTAACCCCAATGATTTGTTAATCAAATCATGGTTTAATTAATGATAGCAGATTTTTGCGAATATGATTTCAGGAAATATAATTTTAATGATAGCAAATATTTTTATTTTTCTACGACTGTCTCGCCTACTAATGTTTCAGGTCCACAAGATTAAATTGTAAATCGAACCAGCTCAAATTTGGGTAGATTAGGACTAAGTTAGCTTGTAATATACATTAAGTGTCTTTTACCTTTTTTTGAGTCCATTATAATATGTGGGTCCTGATAATCTTGCACACACATATTTGGGGAAAAAATATGTTTATTTTTAGTGTTCTCTATTTTTGATCACATCATCTGAAATGATTCATAATCGTCATGGATGATCAGTTAAAAATAGAAACCATAATTAGGGCATCCTGGTTAAGATAGCTACAATTAAGCAAATCATCCTAGACAATATTATCATCATCCGGGATGATAGGATCAAATCAGAAAGAATCAGCCGCCAAATCTTGTTATGCATGTTTTATTTTTTGGCATCATCCATGACATCGTCTTGGGCAATGCACTATAATTATGCCTAAATTAGTTTGGTAATTAAGGAAAATAATTAAAGTTTGATTGCTCGATTATATCGTCCTGGATGATTACAAGATCATCCGGGACGACCAGTTAATAAACCTTAGTTCTTCCTGAATGATCCTTAATCGACCTGGCTCTATCCCGGGCGATATTCTGGCCGATATGTGATGTTTTGTATTAATCGTCTCGGACGATCGTGAGATCGGCCTAGATGATCAAGTTATTTTTCATTATCTAGACATCAATCTAGGGCGATGCTCTGGATGATATGTGACGTTTTGAACTAATCATCACAGACGATCGTGAGATCGGTCTGGACGATCAAGTTACTTTTTTATCATCCAAACATCCATCCAGGGCGATGGTTTGCATGATATTCATTGACTTGAACTAATCATACAGGACGATCTGAACAAAGGAACCTTCTAATCATCCAGACTCTCCCAAATCTTCCTTACTGATTAAACTAAAATTGAACTGATCATATGGGACGATCAGTCTATCGTCCAAGATGATATTTGACGATTAGTTGCAAATTATGGCAATTTTGGAGCCCTTGTTTAAAAGATCTATTATTTTCTCAAGAGATCTTTTGCTATTGTCTTGACCTGAGAGAGCTAAGAAGAGAGGGAGAGCAAGGGAGAGAGAGAGAGAGAGGATCTTGTGAGGGGGAGTTTATGAGGGATTTCATAAAGGTTGCTCCAAGAAAGGATCCAAGTCGTCTGCTCCGGTCGTCGTCCCTAGTTCCTTGGAGGTTCGAGAGAGATTTACTTCAGTAACTGATCGAGGTTCTTTGCCTGCTTCAGGA